TCCAAGGGAGGAGACGCTAGGGTCCCAGATTTCCTGGTCTGGGGGCAGAGGGGCCTCCTGAATCCCAGCAGGCGGCTGAGTTCTGAGCGCTGGATGCCGAGGGCCGGAACCCGCCCCAGGGCCAGATCCCTGGCTCCTCTCTCTTCTCCAGCCCGGGAGTCTCTGCCCCTCCCGGGGCAGGTGTTTCACCTGCCCTGGTGACAATAATGAGCCCTGGCAGAGGCGTTCCTGCTGGCTGCGGGCGGGCGGGGCGGCTGGAGGGGCTCCGCCGTGGGAGCGGGCGGCAGGCCCGCCCCATCAGGGCTGTGTCAGCCCCCGGCGTCCTCACCTCTAGCCTGGCTGCAGTTAGGCGAGGGGCCTGGACTCCCGGCTCTAGGGAGGGGACGCGGAGGGCTGGGTGATTGCAAAAACTCCTAAACTCTTCCTGGTCAAAGGCCGAGGCTGGAGAGGAAGTGGGTGGGGTGCGGGTGGGGGTAAAGTCCCAGAGAGGGAGCTTGGCTCTGGGTGGATCAGGGCCTCCCGGGAGGCCTGGGGTGAGCCTGGGCAATTTGGGGCCTGGGAGGTAGAGAAACGCCTTCCGCTGGTGGTAGAACCTGCTGTTTGAGTGCAGGGGCCCAGTGTTGGAGGCCCGAGTGCCGCTGGGGGCCGCGACTGCTGGTGCTGCGGGTCTGGGACGAGGTGAAACGTGTGACCTGGGGCCAAATTTCCGGGTGGGAGAGGCTCTGAGGGAAAGACAAGGGCTTGAGGGCAGCAGATCTGGGGATGCCTCGAGAGGAGCTGGGTGTTTGCAGGGACTTCTCCAGGGATATGTTGGAGGTGGGGGGCCTGGAGGGCAGAAGCAGAAGCCCTGAGGCGGGGCAGACAAATATCGGGGTGTTCCTGTGACTGGTGTGGTAGGGCAGTGATGCCGACGTTGGAGGCAGTGGAAGAGAAGAGATGCCATCTTCTTTAGGAGCAGGCACGATGAGGGACAGGGAGAATATTTTTCCTGAGAGGGACTTAGATGGTTCTGGAATTGCTGTCGTCCATTCACTACTGGTCTGTGGCCCCTTTGAGGGCGGGAAGGGGTCTCGCACATTCTGGCTCACCCAGTGCCCTCATTACAGCTCAGAGCTCACATTGGGTCGTGTCTTTCTAAAAGCAGAGGAGGAACCCCCCAGATCAGGAGCTCCTGAGGAAGGGCCCCATCTGACACATTTGTGGGTCCCCAGACTCACTCCGGGCAGAGCCTGGTACTTGAATGGCCTCAGGGAATGTTGAGTCAATGGAAGACTGAATGAATGGGTCTAGTCTCCCCGTTACAAAAGAAGGAAGCCAGGGCACAGGGGAGGAAGGCACTGTTAACTGAGGGATAAGATTCCAGTCTGTTCTGCGCAATAGGGTAGACCAGAGGTGGTCAGGGAACCTGAGTGACAGAAATCAGATTGACACCTTCCTAGGGCTCACATCTAAGAAGTCAAGGTCCTCATCATGACCCAGTCTGGTCCCCTTTGTCCCAATCTTACCTCACCTACCACCCTCTTCCCCTCAATCACTTGGCTCTAGTCACAGACGTACAGGCACACTCCTGCCTCAGGGCCTTTGCACTGGCTCTTCTCCCAGCCTGGAATGCTTTTCCTCCTGACATTCCCATGACTCACTCCCTTCATCCTCAGGTCCTTATTCACATGCCCCATCAGAGACACCTTCCCTGGCCACCCCAATTAAAACTCCAACACCCCTCAACCCTAACATCCCCTGTTCCCTGCTTTATTTTTCTCCTTGGCATTTATCATCATTTAACATACTATATAATTTACTTATTTATCTTTTTATCTGTCTCCTGGGATTAGAGGGGTGCTATCCAGTAGAAATATAATGCAAGCCCAATGTGTAATTTAAAATTTCCTAGTAGTGCATTAAAAATTTTTTTAAAGTAAAAAGGAACAAGTGACATTAATATTGATGATATATTTTATTTAACCGAATAGATCCAAAATATTATCATTGCAATATGTCATCAAATATAAAAAATACTAATGATTTTTCATTGTACAAAAGTCTTTGAAATCTGCTGTGTATCTCATACTTAGAACCCCATCTCCGTTTGGATTCTCCATTTCAAGGGCCCAGGAGCCCCGTGGGGCGGTGGCTCCCACATTGGACTGTGCAGGGCTAGAATGTAAGGCAGGGGTCTTTTTTCTGGCTTGTTCTTTGCTATATGGCCAATGCCTTAAGCCTGATTCACAGCCTGGCTTATTAATTATTGAATGAATGAATGAATGGATAGAGAGGTGAACGAATGGAGCGGGGGGAAAAGGAGATCTGTGGACCCATTTTGCAGATGTGTCCAAAGAGGGCTGGTGAGGAGAGGCAGTGGGGACCGCCTCGGGGAGCCGGGGTGGGGATGGAGCCCCACCTGACCTCCGTCCCCTTCTCTCCCCCGCAGACCATGGCAGCAGTGACCCTGTCCGTGCCCGGGCGGAAGGCGCCCCCCAAGCCGGGCGCAGTGCCCGAGGCGGCCCAGTCGTACCTGTTCGTGCCCAGTGCGCCGGGCGTGGGGGGCGGGCCCGGGGGCCCGGGCACCTCCCCGCAGGTGGAGTGGACCGCGCGGCGCCTGGTGTGGGTGCCCTCGGAGCTGCACGGGTTCGAGGCGGCGGCGCTGCGGGATGAGGGCGAGGAGGAGGCCGAGGTGGAGCTGGCGGAGAGCGGGCGGCGGCTGCGGCTGCCCCGGGACCAGGTCCAGCGCATGAACCCGCCCAAGTTCAGCAAGGCCGAGGACATGGCGGAGCTGACCTGCCTCAACGAGGCCTCGGTGCTGCACAACCTCCGCGAGCGGTACTACTCCGGCCTCATCTACGTGAGTGGCCTGCTGTCCGGGGAGGGCGTTCCAGGGCGGGGAGCACCCCGACCTGAATCAACGTGAGGCTGTGTATAATCGTTATCCCGTGTCGTGAGACTATTCCTACTCTAGTTGCCAAATTATAAATCATTGGATTACCAGGACTGCCTCAGACCCCATTGGAGATGTCCCATAATATTATATGGGTAGTTGCACCTTAGTATTTTCCTGAAGTATAAAAACATCTGGGGGCCGGCCTGGTGGTGTAGTGGTTAAGTTCACACGCTCCGCTTCGGTGGCCTGGGGTTCGCAGGTTCAGATCCCAGGCACGGACGGGTGCACTGCTTGTCAGGCCATGCTGTGGCGGCGTCCCACATAAAGTAGAGGAAGATGGGCACAGATGTTAGCCCAGGGCCAGTCTTCCTCAGCAAAAAGACGAGGATTGGCAACAGATGTTAGCTCAGGGCTAATCTTCCTCACAAAAAATTAAAAAAAACCCTCAATTCTCAAATATAATGCATCCAGAGGGTTTTGAGGAAGGGCTGTGGGTCTGTAGTAATAATTAACGAGAACCGCTGAGTATGGAAAATGGCATGCCAGGCTTTGTGCTAAATAACTTCCATATATTAATTCATTTCTTCTCACCTTACACCAAGTAGAGTCTATTATCATCCCATTTTATCTAAGAGGAAACTGAGGCCCAGAGAGATTTAATAACAATAAAAACTAACGTTGATTAAGCGTGACCTAGGCACTCTAAAATATATTGTCTCAGTAAATTTTCACAATTATAAAGCGTTTTGTCCCATTTTACAGATAAAGAAAGTGAGGCACAGAAAGGTCGAGTTCCTTGACCAAGGTCCTCCAGTTGGAATGGCCAACCTGGGTAGTCTGGATCCAGGCTCTACCATTTTGCTGTGGCGCCTTTTAAGATGAAGACAATTGGGGGCTGGCCTGGTGGCATAGCGGTTAAGTGTGTGCGCTCCGCTGCGGCGGCCTGGGGTTCCCAGATTTGAATCCCGGGCATGCACCAACACACCGCTTGTCAAGCCATGCTGTGGCAGCGTCCCATATAAATAGAGGAAGATGGGCACAGATGTTAGCCCAGGGCCAGTCTTCCTCAGCAAAAAGAGGAGGATTGGTGACAGATGTTAGCTCAGGGCTAATCTTCCTCACACACGCACAAAAAAAACAAAAAGATGAAGACGATTGATGATAGTGAGGTTGACTATGGTTGCCTAGTCTCTGTTAAGCATTTAATGTCTCTCGAGTTATTTAACCTTTACAGCGAGCAGATGACGTAGGGCCTCGGTTCGTAACCCTGCCTTCATGTTAGAATCACCAGGGGAATTTTTGGAAAATACCAAGACCTGAGCCCCACCCCAGCCCATTTAAATCAGGTTCTCTGGGGGTATGACATGAGCACTGGTATTTTTAATAAGTTTCCCCGGTGGCTCTAATGGGCAGCCAGAGCGTTATTAAGAGAAAACAGGATTAAGAGAGATTTGACAAGGAATGTCGACAGTAATAATGAAAAATAATAATTATGGGTGGCTAGCAAATATTTATTGAGCACTTATGATGTTCCAAGTACTGTTCTAAGTACTGCGTGTGGGTCATCGACTCACCTCTGGGCTGGGGACTGTTGTTATCACCTGATGTTCAGGAATGTTAAGTGACTTGGGGCCCAGATTGCACAGACGTGAAGGAGTCGTGCTGGGGTTTGAACCCGGGCAGCTGGCCCCAGAGTGATGCTCCGAACACCAGCTTAGAGGGCTGGGGCCTCATTGCCTCGTGGCCCCACAAGGAAAATCATAAAACACCTAGCTAGAAGCCTAAAAGGAAAAGTGCTGGTTTTATGTTTTAAGAAAACTACAAAACTTTAATGACAGTAATAAAAGAATACTTAAATAAATGATGAGATATATCAAAAAAATAAACTGGCTACCGAGGCTCAGGGCCCCTGGGCTTGGGGTAGCAGATGTGAGATTTGAATCGAGGGCTGTCTGACCCTGGGTGGGGTTGGCACCTTCTCCAGGCTGCACTGGCTGCTTCTGATTCCTCACTCGCCTTTGCAAACCTTGAGAAAGAGGGCTCTGCCCACGGTAGTCCCCTGGATCCCACCAAAGGCAGGAAGATTGGAGGGACACCCAAAACACTGAACACCTTTGGCTTTTCTTTCCTTTTTTTTCTTTCTTTCTTTTTTTTTTTGCTGAGGAAGATTCTCCCTGGGCTAACATGCCAGAGCTAACATCCGTGCCAGTCTTCCTCTGTCTTGTATGTGGGTTGCCACCACAGCATGGCTGACAAGTGGTGTAGGTCTGCACTGAGATCCGAACCCACAAACCCGGGCCACTGAAGTGGAGTGTGCAAACTTCACCACTAGGCCATGGGGCTGGCCTACACCTTTTGCCTTTTAATAAACACTCTGAACTTTCACACCTTGTGAGGTATCTGCTATCATCCCCATTCTGCAGGTGGGGAAACTGAGCCTCAGAGAGGGGCCAGACCTTCGACAAAGCCCCACAGCTAGGAACCAGCTAAGCTGGGATTTGAACCCAGGCTGTCCAACTCCAGACCCCACATCCCATCCACCACCCTAGGAAGATTATTGGGAAAGTTCAGGGGGAAAAAATGGTGAGGCCTGAGCTAGGGCTGTGGCCCAGGAGCCAGAGAATTGGGGCCTGATAAAAGGAAGTGTGATGGAAGATTCCAGAAGCCCAGACGGGAAGCGAATTGGGCCTTAAGAATAATCATTAGCACTTAGTGAGCACCTGTTTTCTCTGTCGGGTGCTGTTCTTTTTATTTATTTATTTTTTTCCCCCCAAAGCCCCAGTAGATAGTTGTATGTCATAGCTGCACATCCTTCTAGTTGCTGTATGTGGGACGCGGCCTCAGCATGGCCGGAGAAGCGGTGCATCGGTGCGCACCCGGGATCCGAACCCCGGCCACCAGCAGCCCGGGTTAAGCGCGCGCACTTAACTGCTAAGTCACGGGGCCGGCCCTGTCGGGTGCTGCTCTAAACTTCTTTCTGATATGATCTTGTTGACCTCTCGCTCCACAAGGCTGTGAGGTAGAGATTATTGCCACCTTTTCCCACAGCCTGGAGAGGAGAAGCCACGGGCCCAGCAGCAGTTAACAGCCAACATATTAAGCATGCACGGTGTTCCAGGGCCCACATTGGGTCCTGTTCTTGCCACATGAACTTGTGGATGGCTCCCGGCAACCCTATGTGGAAGCCCTGTTCCTATGCCCATTTGGTGAGAAAATAAGACCCAGAAAGTTTAAGATACTTGCTCAAGCTGGAAGACGTTAGAGGTGCGACTCCAGCTCCACCCTGCTTGTCTTCGTCCCGTGCTTAATAAATACTTGTTGACTGGCCAAACTGGTGATGGGGAAGGCAGTGTGGCCCAGTGGAAAGTGGCTGTCTGGGGCTCCAGAAACCCAGCTTCTGCCGCTATTAGGCTGTTTGGCCTGGAGTCGCGCAGGGTCTCAGTCCCTTGGCTGGGATGCCTGGGGCAGGAAGGGAACCCATTTGGGCACTGGAGATGCTCTCTGCCCCTCGGTGGTGGGAGTCGAAAGCCCCCTTTTCCAGGGCTGGAAACTGAGGCTCAGAGAGGGCAAATCCCTGTGCCAAGTCACACAGCTAGAAACCCAGGGTGACATGGCTTTGAAGTCTGGGCCAGCTCTCAGCTCCCAGGTGGGATGGGTTCCATGAGAGTCTTAGGACTCTGGAGTGCGTTTATGGGCCCCGCCTTGGGCTGTCTGGTTTTTATTCATTATCTCCCTTAATCCCCACAGCCTCGGTAACGAGGTGGGGAGTGTCGTCCCTGGATTCTTAAGAAGGAAACCGAGACTATGGGGAGAGTCGCTGGGCTGAGGAGGGCTGGAGGCGGGAGGTGGCCCCGGCGGGTCTGCCTTTAGAGTCTCGAGGGCTGGGGCAGCCACTCCGGACCCTCCCAAGGGTTCCCCACCATGCTATGGCCACTCGGTGGCCCTGACCCTCTCTGGGCGCACCAGCCTCTGCCCTTTGTGCCCTGGCCTCGGCAGCCAGCACAGGTTCCTGTCCTGGGTGTCGCCTTGGCGACAAGGTGTGGCTGGTGGGAGCAGGCTTGGGGGGGGAGTGGCGTGGGGAGTGGGATCCTCCGCCAGCCAGGAGTGGGGGCCCGGGCGCCAGCAGCCATGAGATACCTTCCGAGGGAATGTGGTCCGGCCGCCCCGCCCTCTGAGAGCGGGAGCTCCCGGGAGCACCTCCTCAAGGAGGGGAGGGCAGATACCCAGCAAACCGGTTGTTCTGCTCCGGGCTGGACACCCACCCTCCCACCGTTAAAAGATTGGCACCTGGGAGCCAGGCAGCCTGCGGTCACCACACCCTGCTCTGCTTGAGAAGCGCAAGTTGTCTGGGCACTTAGCAGCCCTGCTGCTAACCAACCAAGTAACTGGCTAACCAGCTAACTAGCTAAGGAGCTGACTAGCTGGCTAAGTAGCTAAGTGGTTTAATAGTTAACTTGCTAAGCCACTAAGCAGCTAACTCTCTGGCTAGTTGAGCTAGCTAATTCCAGCTAGCTTAGCTAGTTAGCTCTCTGGATTGGTTAACTAGGTGACCAGCTAGCACTCTAGCTGTCTAACTGTCTCTATCTGGCCTGAGCACCTCCTGTCCACCTCATGCTCCGTGTCAACTGGAGTAGTTCTTTTTTTTTTCTTTTTTGCTGAAGAAGATTCGCCCTGAGCTAACATCTGTGCCAATCTTCCTCTATTTTGTGTGTGGGTCGCTGCCACAGCATGGCCGCTGATGAGTGGTGTAGGTCCGCGCCCAGGCACTGAACCCAGGCCGCCAAAGCGGAGCATGCGGAATTTAACCACTAGGCCATGGGACCAGCCCCTGGAACAGTTCTTAAACCATTACAGGGTCTTGAACCCGGGCCCAATGGGTGTGTGGATGAATTCACAGAGTCCGTGAACTTGGATGCAAAAAAAAAAATTACATCTTTATTTTCACGCACCTCGAACCTGAAATCCAGCATTTCCTCCAGTCCGAGTGTCTGACAGAGACTGTGGCGTGAGCAGGGCCTGTGAGCCTGTTATCAGTAGAAACCACAGACACGTTCCTGTCGTGTTTGAGTGGCTGCTGATGCTGTGAGCATCCTTCTGGAGATATTCCCTGCGTGTTCAAGCAAATACGTAAAAATATTCCTCTTCCAACCGTTCCAATGCAAACAGCTCTCACCTTCTTTCCTTGCACTTGATCATGTTTTGGAGAGAGTTCCATGTCTGTACTCCAAGGGCATCATGGGAATCCATTGTGTGAACACGCAGCCAGGTCGTTTCCGGTCTTTTGCCACTATTTTGCTGGAGCAGATAAGCTGGCCCGTGGTCTTTTCATGTGTGTGTGAGTCCAGGCGGTGACAGGCTGTGACCTGAGTCTGGCTGGCTGCAAAGGCCACGTTCTTTCTCAGGGTGAATCCTCATCCATGCACCACCTTTGTGCCATTTGAAGATTCTTTTCTACCATCAGCCTGAAAACATTTGCAACAAATGTTCAAATCGACATTGCCATGGTGTGAATGGCTGCCCCTTTGACGGATGCCCTTGTGCAGTGCACAACCTGCCCAGCTGTACATGGCAGCCCCATGCTGCCTTCAGGGCCACAGGCAGGCCGCTGAAGCCCTCTCCCTTCTTGCCCCCTGCAGACGTACTCCGGCCTTTTCTGTGTGGTCATCAATCCGTACAAGCAACTTCCCATCTATACGGAGGCCATTGTGGAGATGTACCGGGGCAAGAAGCGCCACGAAGTGCCACCCCATGTGTACGCGGTGACCGAGGGGGCCTACCGAAGCATGCTCCAGGGTGAGTGTGGGGCCGGGGCTGCTGGAGGTGGCTCTTCAGTGGGGGCCGGGCGGGGGGTCCGTATCAGATGACAGGTCAAGGCTTTCAGATTCTGTGAGGCTTCTTTGTGGGGCAGGAGGGAACACAAATGGGGGGCTGAGTGGGCGAGACTCCAGGGCCTACCACACAGGCCCCTTTTTATCTACCTCCATGTTCACCCCTTCTCTCAACAAGTATCATTCGGGGGCCAATTGGTGTCAGGCTTCTGCAAAAATTTCTTAAGATAGTGATTCTTAGGGTGTTCATCCGTTCAACATTGATGTTGTTGACACAATCTACATTGTCATGGGGTGAATGGTAGGCCGTTAAATGATGGGCAGCATGGAGTCGCTGTGTACAGCTGGGCAGGTTGTACACTGCACAAGGATGTCCATCAAAGGGGGCGCCATTCACCCCACGACGATGTAGATCAGTCCTAGCAAAGTTACATAATTCACAAGTAATACACATAATGCATTCATTATGTATTTATTACATATCATCTATTTTAATAAATATTTTGTATAAATTACAATGTATCTTTATCATATGACGTAAAATGGTATGCCACAGTATATTTATATTGTACATGTTATGCTTATGTCATTTCATAGATACTATGTTTCTATTGTACGTTACAATGATACATTTATAGCGTATGATGCAGTGGTTCTGAGTGTGGTCCCCTCAGCAGCAACATCAGCATCATCTGGAAACTTCTCAGAAATGCGAAGTCAGGCCCCTCCCCAGACCTGCCGAGTCAGAGATGCTGGGGCTGAGGCTCGGCGGTCAGGGTTTTCACAAGACCCCAGGCTCCTTCTGGGGTTCCGAGGCAGGGTCAAGTTTGAGAACCTCTGGTATAACATACAATAGATAATACACCTGTGTCACACAATAGAACATGTTTGTATGTAGGGTGTTTATATTCACTCTACAAATTTGTATTTAATCATCGGTAACACTTATTTTATTTGCTTATATAGTCCAATTTGTTGTCTATTTGATAATAATTTCCAGCTATTATTATAGACGCGTTATTATATCTCAGGAATAAATGTACAATAAAGTCAGGGGGAGTGCCGAGTACTTTTCGTGGATTAACACATTTAACCTCACAGCAGCCCCATGAAGTGGGTTTGCTCATTATCCCTGGTTTGCAGATGGGGAAACTGAGGCACGGAGCAGTACAGTTGTTGCCTACTGGTGGGTGGGTGGCGGAGGTGGGATTTGAACCCAGGGCCCCCAACCACTGCCTCCCTGTAGGTGACACTGTGTATCACGTCCTCCCCCTGGGCCGGATGAGTGAGTTTTGATGTGTGGCCCTCCTGACTCTAACACGCCACCCCGACTCAGCCTCTTGCTTGCTGTGTGACCCTGGGGAAGCAGCTGTCCCTCTCTGAGTTTCGGTTTCCTCAACTAAAATGAAAACAGGCCACAAAACAGTATTATATACTAGCCAGTATATAAAAACTTTTTGAACATTCTAAGTTCTGGCTACAGCCCTGTGAGGTAGGGGCTGTTCTGAGCCTCGTTTTTCAGATGGGGAAACTGAGGCACACAGCACCTCAGAGACTGGCGCAAGGTCACACAGCAAGGCAGAGAGGCAGCTGGGCCTTAAGCCCGTGTCCATCTGGCTCCCAAATCAGGCTGCTAACTCTGATGTCCTGTTAAATGCAGCTCTCACTCTGGCTTAAAACCACCCAGAGGCCCCCACCCTGCTGACAAACCATCCAGACCTTTTAATTATGGCCTCCAAACCCACCTGCACCCTCTCCAGCTCCGCGCCCTCCCCCAGCCTCACTGACCGCCTTTCTCAAACGTCTCCAACTCAGTCTGCCACAGGGCCTTTGCACTGGCTGTGCCTCTGCCTGGAACACTCTTTCCCTGTGTCCTCATCCTTCAGGGCCGAGCTGAAACATCACCTCTTCTGAGAAGCCTTCCTGGCTCTCCACCCTGCCCCTCCATCACTTCCTATTACTTGAGACCAGGGTTTCTCAATCCTGGCTCTGTGGACATTTGAGGCCGGATGATTCTTTGTCGTGGGGGCCGTCCTGTGCATTGTAGGAGGTTGAGCAGCGTCTCTGGGCTCTACCACTAGACGCCTGTAGGACCCCGTCCCTGATTGTGACAACCAAAAGTATCTCCAGACGTTGCCAACTGTCAGATCATCTTTGGGTTTAGTTTACGTGCTTTTTGTCCCCCAGACACTCCACGAGGGTGGGGACCTTGCCAGTGCCCTCTGCCCTCAGTGCCTGGCACTTAGTAGGTGGTGAGTGTGCATTTGTTGAAGGTTTGTGTCAGGCCCAGGGTGGGCGCCGGGGAAGATGGGTGCCTCAAGTTGGGCTGATGTCTCCCCAGCAGGCCACTGGTCACCGTCACTACCGTTTTGTGGCCTGTTTTATATCAGTGGCTGAGCCCTGGGGGCCAGGATCTCGCTCTTGTGTCTTTGAACACACCCAGCACAAGGTGGCACACGGTGGGGGCTCAAATTGAAGTTTGTTGAATGAACTCCATTCTGTTCAGTTGGAGTTTATTGTCTCCATTTTAGAGGTGAGGAGACTGAGGCTCAGAGAGGGACAGCTGCTTCCCCAGGGTCACACAGCAAGCAAGAGGCTGAGTCGGAGTGGAGTATTAGAATTCAGCAGGGTCACACATCAAAACCCAAGCTTTTCCTTATCCCTTGGGAATGATTTTGAAAAGGGGGCAGCCAGCGTAGGGGGCCAGCATCCCCATGGAGAGGCCCTCCCAGGTGACATGTCCCTCTCTGTTCCCTACAGATCGCGAGGACCAGTCCATTCTCTGCACGTGAGTAATCCGGAGGGACTTCCTGGAGGAAGCGGGGTCCCGGCTAGGTGTGGCTCAGCTTGGGATGCGAGGGGCTTAGCTGGTGCCATTGCCGACCCCTTTTGCTTCCCAACAGCGGGGAGTCTGGGGCCGGGAAGACAGAAAACACCAAGAAGGTCATCCAGTACCTGGCCCATGTGGCATCGTCCCCCAAGGGCAGGAAGGAGCCGGGCGTTCCGGTAAGTGACCTGCCTGGGGACACGCTCTGGGCCCTGCCACCAGCAATGCCCCGTCCATCTCAGGCTCTGCTTCCCCCATAACTCCCTGCCCCCTCCCTCATGGAGGGCTACAATTGTGCGCCTTCTCCTGGCTGCCCGTGCCATCTGCACACCTACTACGTGCCTGATATAGTGCTGGGAGCAGAGGCAGGGCAGACACAGACATGTGAGGGCCAGTTCTTGGCCTCATTAGCCGTTAGAACAGCGCCCGGCACACAGTAGGTGCTCCCATTCCTGAGCACCTACTATGTGTCGGGCCTGATTTGGGTAACTGCAATGCGCAGGTTTGTTTTATAAGTGAACACGTATATAGGGCAATCCCTTTGCTTACATGAACTTAACACCAGCGAGGTGGGCGTTATTTCCTGTGTTAAAGATGAGAAACCGAAGGGGCGGCTGGGGAGAGTTGGTGGTCAGAGGTCACACGCCCAGGAAGGGCTTGAGCAGAGTCAAACCCAATTATTGTGGCCCCCCCATGCCATCCCGTTCCAGTTTCCCCAGCCCCTCGTCTGTCCCCCCGCCCCGCCCCCACCCAAGACCGCCGGTTCACCTGTGTGTCTGTCCACGTTCCATGTGCTGTGTCCTGGTCCGTGTCTCGTGTCCCGTGACTTCCTCAGGCCTCCGTCAGCTCCGTGTCTTATGTGAGTAGCTGGGGATCACCTCAAATCATGCCGCCTGGGTCACCCCACCCCACGGTCTTCCTGGCAGACAGGGCCCAAGGCACCGATGGTCACACCTGCCAAAAAGCCACATTGCCGCTTATGGCGGTCCTACTATGTGCCTGCCAGGCCCTGCACTGTCATTGAATGCCACCCTACTGTGTGCACACAGGGCCCCCACTGCTGTGGATGGCGGTCCTAATGCATGCACGCAACCAGGGCCCATGCTGCCATTTTGTGCGGTCCTACTGTGCTCGTGCAGATGCACACTGCTGTTTCTGTTAGTCCTACTGTGTGTGTGCAGACTGTGTGCACAGATATCAATGTGAAACCACCCAGAGACCATTTATTGCTGATTTGCTAAATGCATGTAGACAGGGCGCACAGACACCATGAATTCACACAACCCAGAGACCCACATGGCCATTTATTGCAGGCCTACTGTGTACACTCAGCTCAGGCTAGTCTCTGAGAGCTTATAGAGAATTTAAAGAAATCGTTGGTGCCCTCGAGAGCCTGGCTAGGAAGGACAGGAAGGGGATTCTCGCTTACTGAAGACCCACTATGTGTTGGGCTCCTTGCTGGGCACCGAGGGAATAAAGATTTATTGAATGAATGATTTGAGCAACTGAATTATACACTTTTGGGGCTTCTGGCTTAGTTGGGGAAGAGAGGGTGATCACTGACCACCTCCTGTTAACAAGAAGGGCAGATCCCCATCCCGTCTCTGCTCAGAGTCCTTCCCCCGACTCCCGTCTCACTCAGAGTAAAGCCTTCTCATTTTCTCGTCTCCTTCTAGTTGCTCAAACTACAGGGGGTGAGATGCAGGATGATAGGAACTAGCCCCTCAAATGCCCCCTACCAGCATATAAGCTCCATGAGGGCCGGATTCTGTCTGTCCTATTAGCTGCCGCTTTCTTTTTTCTTTTTCTTTTCTTTCTTTTTTTTTTTTTTTTGCTGAGGAAGATTGGCCCTGGGCTAACATCTGTGCCCATCTTCCTCTACGTTATATGTGGGACACCACCACAGCATGGCTTGATGAGTGGCGCATAGGTCTGCACCCAGGATCCGAATCTGTGAATCCTGGGCTGCCAAAGCGGAGCACGCGCACTTAACCACCACGCCACTGGGCCCGCCCCTGGCTGCTGCTTTCTAATGCCTAGAACCATCCCTGGCACATAGTAACCACTCACTTAATACTTTTCAAAGGAGTCGACAGGTTAGCTAGGAAAATAAACTAATGTATTGAGGTCTCCTATGTGCCAAGCCACAAGCCCTTTGCTTTACGTATATTTTTTCATTTGACAAAGCCATCTGCTTAGCTGAGATTGCTTCATTGTAAAGCAAGCAAGATGCAGAGTGAGAGAAGACACACACGGGCTGACATTTATCGAGCACCTTCCACGTGCCTGGCTCTGACACTGAGGTGGCTGTGGGGAAGTTCAGAGTAAGATCCCTACCCATGGATCAGCCTGCTGGGGAAGGAAACTAGCATTTCTTGAGTGCCTACTGTGTGCCAGACAGTTTGAAGCACTTTACTTAGATGGTATAGATTTTTCCTTAATTGAAATTCCACAAGTAACACATGAGTGCGTATTCACTGTAACATCAACAACTAAAAAATCAGATAAAGTGAAGTTCTTCTTTGCTCCTTTCAGTCCCCCTTCCTTGGAGTGGCTTACACTGTTGACAGTTTGGTGTGTATCCTTGCAGACCTTTCTCCAAATGTTCATGAACGTGTAGACATGAGAGTCTTGTTTTGTGCTGTTGTTTCTTCATTTACTGTTGTGACTGGGATCCCATTGCGGGTATTCTTTTGCAGCTCGTTTCTTTCATTTTGTTCTGTTTGCACTCAACGGTGTACCTTAGACATATTTCCCTGTTCCCTCCACAACAGACTGAAGGGCAGGACCTGGATGTGGATGTGGGGAAGTGGGCACACACCCAGACACACACAGGCCCCTCACACACGCACACTCAGCCAGCTGTAACACAGACCCCCGAGCCAGGCCACCCCCCGCCCCGGTTCTCACTGCCGCGCCGTCCCCCACGGCCCGCAGGGCGAGCTGGAGCGCCAGCTGCTACAGGCCAACCCCATCCTGGAGGCCTTCGGCAACGCCAAGACGGTGAAGAACGACAACTCCTCCCGATTCGTGAGTGTCAGCGAACAGGAGCTGGGCGCGCGGGGTGGGGGTGGGGGGTTGTCTGCTGAGCGGGAGGGGCTGCAGGTGCAGACAACTGGGTCCGAGGGAGGGGGGCCGGGGGCCTGGACTCCCGGGGCTGGGGGAGGAGGGCCGGGGGCCTGGACCCCTGGGTTCGAGGGAGGGGGGCCGGGGGCCTGGACTCCCGGGGCTGGGGGAGGAGGGGCTGGGGGCCAGGGTCCTGAGGAAAGAAGTCAATGAGCCTGGACCTTGGGTTCCCCGGGGAGGCTCCCCCCCCCGGGACCTCTTGATTGGGGTGGGGTTCAGGTGGAGGGAGGAGAGAGCGGAGAGGCAGGCCTGGCTCTGGGAGGGGTGAGTGTGGGGTGGGGGTGCTCTTCTTGTCCTCTGAAGCCCCCCTTCCCCATCCCTCCCAGGGCAAATTCATCCGCATCAACTTCGACGTCGCCGGGTACATCGTGGGCGCCAACATCGAGACCTGTATCCTTTCCGGCCCTGAGGGGCGCCTGGGGGGCCAAGGAGGGCGGCCCGTGGGGTCTAACTGCTTACAGGAAGCAGAAGTCCACACACGCAGGGGACCCTGGCCCCCTGCTGCTCAGAAATGGCCTCAGTTTCCCGCTCTGTAGACGGGGAAGGATCATCGAAGCTCGGGAAGGGGAGGACACAGCATCTCCCCATGGAGGGAGGAGGCCTGTGGGACCTGGAAGGGTTTGGAGGACAGTGTGAGTCCAATTCTTAGCACGGCGCCTGCCACGTCGTAAGCGCTCAAGATGGAGCTATTGTTATTGGAAATTAATGACTAAAGTAAATTAGCCACGTCCTTCTCGATGTTAATATCATGGATTAATAATCATTTATAATCATAATGTTAGCGATGTTAAGAATAAACCACATCTGCATTCCCAGGGGTGTCTGACAAGCTCACTGTCCTCCCTAATCTGGGGGAAGGTTGGGAAGCAGTGTGTGGATAAGGGTCTTTCAAAAGAGGGCTTAGGGAATAAGGGAACCAGATCCCGCCGGGCCCCATTGATTCCACTGCCTCCTGGTAATTGCTTCCTCGGGCACCCGGCCTCGTGTCCCCATGTCCCCTGGAGCCACCAGCTCCTGCTCCCCACAGTTTCTGCAGCCCGTTGCTGCTCTGCGTCTTGGCCCCTGCTGCCACAGGTTCTCAGAGCTCACGGCTCTTCCCGCCCCATCCATCCTCTGTCTCCTGCTCCTCCGACCCCATGGTCCCTGCAACCTCTTTTTATCCTCATGGTGTCTTCTCTGCCCATTTCCTGATGCTGACTTTCTCCCGTCCACACTCACCATGCAGCCCTGGCTGCCCCACTGGGCCCAGCTCGCATGCCCGGCTGTCTGTGCCTCGGGGCCAATGAGCAGCCTGTGGATTGCTGTGGGGCCACCCCCAAGCCGATCAGACGGGTCTCGGGCTCCGCCTGACCCCTCAGCACCAGCGTCAGCACGACCCACATTTCTTGAGGGTTTCCCATGTGCCTGGTGCCGTCCTGAGAGCTCCCCCTGTGTTATCTCCCTTCCTCCTCTCCGTGACCCTGCGAGGTAGAGGCTGTTCCCATCCCCTTTAACAGAAGAGGGAACCGAGGCGCAGGGCTGTCGCCACGCAGGGTGGCACAGGTTGTGTGCGCCTCCCCCGCCCCGCCCTGCCTAGTGGGATCCCCTGCCCCCATCCTCCCCATCTCACCCGAGGACGTTAGCGAGCCAGGGCTCCCGGTCCACAGACCTCAGTTTGCATCTGATCTCGGGCAAGGCTCTGCCTTACGACCGTCATGCAAAATACGTGCCCGGCGGTCCATGAGCGTGGGGCACAGAGGGGTCAACGAGTTACCAGGCGTTTTATTTTGCTCTAAGGCGTCTTGCTGCGTTTAGTGTGGAAACGTGCCGTGTGACTTTCCTAGAAGGGAGGATGGTGTCGATGGAGGAGATGTTCTTGTCCGTGGTTGAGGAGAAGCCAGGCACCGCTCTGGGTGTTTGACGCGTCATAACTCGTTTCCTCTCCCAGAAGCTCGTCGACGGGTGTTATTATCAAGTCCCTGGAACAGATGAGGAAACTGAGGCACGAGTGCTTAAGTGATGTGCCCAAGGCCACTTGTCCAGTTAGTCGCAAGGCTCACGGGGCGGCAGAGGTCGAGGGGGCCGGTGGGGTCCCCTCCCCTCCCCTGCAGATCCTTGACTCGCCTCCGCCCAGACCTGCTGGAGAAGTCGCGGGCCATCCGCCAGGCCAAGGACGAGTGCAGCTTCCACATCTTCTACCAGCTGCTCGGAGGCGCAGGAGAGCAGCTCAAGGGTCGGTGCTGCGCGGCTCCAGGGGAGTGGGTGGGCTTCTCTGGGCCCCGGGAGGAGACGTGGGAGACGCTAATCTTTGTCCAGCACGTGCCTCGTGTCAGCCTCCTGCCGGGTGGTGGATTCCGGTGGATTCGCCTCCTGGACCCCGCTGCTCCCGGTTTCCGCGGCCTCGTGACTCTGCCAGGCAGAGCATCCTGCCCCCCCAACCCCGGCCCGCTGTCTCCCGCGTCTCGCTCACACCGGCTACGCGGCCAGGTGGCTCCACGCTCACTTCTCTTCCCAAGCTCCGGGCCTTCTGCCTGCTCCGGTGGCGTTAACGCCTTGACTGTGGCTTCGCTTCAGCTCCTGCTGCCTCGTGAGCCCCGGGGGTCCTGGTTCGTGTGGCTTCTGGGCGCCTGCTGCCTCACAGCCCCCTCTGCTCTGCCTCCTGCAGCCCCCGGTTCCTGCCTGTGATTCTTCCTGTCTCTGGCTCCACGCTCCTCCTGTCCTCTGTCTGCAGACGGGGGCCCCCACTGCCCTGCGGCTGCCGCATTCTGGCTCCTTCCGCCCTGTAGCTTGGGCCGCCTCCTGGCCCCTCCTCACCCAGGGTCCCGCTCACGGTGGCCTCTGAGCCCACATGCCCTCTGCCGCTGGCCCCCGCTGTCCCCCGGCTTCTGCTAACTCGGGCGCCCGTGGCCCCATTGCTTCTGCGGACGGGCGGCTGCTGCTTGCTCTGGGCATTTCCGTGACTCGAGAATCTCTATGGAAGGAGGGAAGAGGAAAGGCCTCGTATGTGCCGAGCACCCGCTCCACGCCTGCCCCTTCCCGCCAAACCCGTGAGGAAAGGATCCTCACTCATTTGACAGAAGAAGAGACTGAGGTCCCTAGTGGCGAAGTGACTTATCCCAGGGTGGCCATGGAGGAAGCCGGGACCTGGTCTGACCCCACAGCTCGCCCTTGACCTTGGCCTCCACTCGTTACCCCCACAGCCGACCTCCTCCTGGAGCCGTGCTCCCAGTACCGCTTCCTGACCAACGGGCCGTCCTCCTCTCCCGGCCAGGAGCGGGAGCTGTTCCAGGAGACGCTGGAGTCACTGCGGGTCCTGGGATTCACCCACGAGGAGATCACCTGTGAGTGAGCCCCGAGCCCCCGCGGAGGGTGGAGGGGGGGCACCGCCCGGGGCCTGGCCTTTCATTCCTCGGTTTATTGGTTCAAGCATTTATTGAGCACCTACTGTGTGCGGGCACTGGGGCCACAGCAGGGAATGAGACCGACAAACGTCCCTGCCTCAGGGAAACCGACTAAACAAGAACCACGATCCAGATAAATAAAGGAGTTATATGGTCTATGGGAAGGCAGTGAGTGCTGGGGAGAAAAAAAAAAGAGTATGGAGGAGGGAGGAGGGGACAGCTTTAAAAAGAGGATCAGAAAGGGCACACCGAGATGGTGATGTCTGAGCAAAGGCCTGGAGGAGCTGAGGGAGTGAGCATTGGTGCTATCAGGGGAAGAGTGTTTTAGGCACGGGGAAGAGCCTGTGCAAAGGCCCTGAGGCAGGAAGGGCATGGCATCTTTGAGGAATTGAAACTTCTCGAGTGGATTCGGTCTCGTGTGTGACCGAGGGGAGTGAGGAGATGGAAATGGAGCTGCAGAGGCAGGCAAGGCTGGGACTTCGTCCTGGGGGCGCTGGGGAGCCATGGGAGAGCTGGAAGCGGGGGTGGGGGGGCATCTCTGGGCTGCGTGGAGGATGGACTGGAGGCCGGAGGAGGCTGAGACGAGGGTGCAGGGAAGACCCTGACTCTGGCCCTTGGTCTGCCCTGGTTGGTCCAGGCTGGGTGGCTCTGAGGTGAAATACTCCCCGTGTTATCTGCTGTGCCTCCCACGTTTTCCATCAAACCGTGCGTTTCGAGAATAGTTCTATTGCAGTAGTGGTTTAGTTTGCTAGGGCTGCCATAACAGAGCACCACAAACCGAGTGCCTTAAACGGCACGCACTGATGGTCTCCCAGTTCTGGAGGCCAGAGTCTGAGCTCAAGGTGTCGGCGGGGTTGGTTCCTCCTGGGAGAATCTGTTCCCTCCCTCCCCCATAGCTTCTGGTGGTTTCCTGGCCATCTTTGGCATGCCTTGGCTTGTAGAAGCGTCCTCCAATCTCTGCCTTCGTCTTCACGTGGCGTTCTCCCCATGGGCGCGTCTGTGTGCAAATTCCCCCTTTATAAAGACACCCCTCATATTGCATCACCGCCACCCTACGCCAGTGTGACCTCATCTTAACTTAAATAATTACACTCGCAATGACCCAACACCCAAATAAGGCACATTCTGAGGGGTCCTGGGGGTTAGGACTTCAACATACCTTTTTTGGGGGGCTGAGGAGTCATGATTCAACCCATCACAAGTACATATAGGTGGACCTCTGTCTTTTTGGCAGCTGCCTGATGTTTCATCGTTTGCTATGATTCTTTTTACCAGTTTCGTAGAGAAAGACCCTGTTTGGCCAGCTGAGCGCGGCCAGGCTGGGGCTCGTGCTCCTCAGCTCTCTGGCGCTGCGGGAGGCCCCGGGAGCTGTTGTTGGCTCTGGGGCTGAATGGAGAGGGCTGGAAACCCAGTGCCAGCTTGGCTGTCCCCCCCGGGCTGCAAACTCGCCAGCCTGCTTGGGTGTATTGACACAGGGTCCTGGGCCTGCCCGCCTCCACCAGATTTCCCAACCGAGGTTGCGTAACTCCTCACTTGCATATCTCCCCTGTCCTCCCAGGGCAGCTGGCAAACAAATTCAGATGCCGGCCACGCTGGACGCCTGGGCCTCCCGGCCTGGCCCCTCAGGTCCCGGCTGGCGTCCTGACACCGGTCACCTCAAGTCACCCTCCCGGCGGCAGCTCTGATTTTTGCCATTCCGACACAAAAATGTTGAAGCAACGTATGCATGTAGTGACATAATCGGAATGTGGCCGAAGGTCAAAGGGTGAAAGCCAAGCCTCCCCAGCCCCCCCTCCCCGAGCCCTTGTTTCCCCCTGTTAAGCTTCTAGCATCTCCTTCCAGAAATATTTTAGACATGGAAAAGAAGACATTATTTTTCTGCAAAAAGAGGCATTCTCTAGGCCCTGCGCTATCTGGGGATAAAAATGTTAAGCTATTTCTCTGCAGATTTAACCGTTGTGGGCCCCACCTCCCCGCCATTCCTCCCAGGAGCATCCCGCACGCGGCGACTAACAGATGACAACTCCTGGCACGCTGTTCCTGGAAGGGCACAGGGTTTAAATTCTCAGCTCATCACCCCCGTGCTTGGGTGCTCTGTCCCCCACTTTTCCGGACAGTGTATTTTGGTGATAATTCTGTTTTTGTATGTATAGGTGAACTTCAGTCTTTTTTGTGGCTGTGTAGGTTTCGTTGTTTAGATGAACTACAATTCTTGTAATGAATCCCTGTCCCTTGCAGACAGACCTTTAGGGTGACTGCATCCCATTGTTATTGCAATGACACCCCCATCCCCCAAAAAGGGTGCTGAGAATATCCTTGTAAGTAGGTCCTGGTGCTCATGTGGGAACAGAACTTTAGGATCAGTTCTTAGAAACGAAATGCTGGGTCTAAAGAGAGGTGCAGTTTTTGTTTTATCTGGCTTTAGAAAAAAGTTAGGGGACCTACACACCACTTCTCAAGCCATGCTGTGGCGGCTTCCCACATACAAAATAGAGGAAGATGGGCACAGATGTTAGCTCAGGGCTAATCTTCCTCAAGCAAAAAGAGGAGGACTGGCAATGGATGTTAGCTCATGGCCAATCTTTCTCACAAAAAAAAAAAATAGCTTTATTGAGATATGATTCACATACCATACTATTCACCTATTTAAAGTGCGCGAGTTGGTGGCTTTAGTATATTCACAGCGCTGTGCATCCATCACCACAATCAATTTTAGGACATTTGCAGTGGCCCCAGAAGATAACTCACGCCTTTGCTGTCACCCACCAGTGTCCACCACCAGCCCCGGCAACCCCTTATCTGCTTCCCGTCTCTGTGGCTTTGCCTATCCTGGGCCTTTCATATCAATGGCATCATGCGACATGTGGTCCTTTGTAGCTGGCTTCTTTCACTCAGCCTGATGCATTCAAGGTTCATCCGTGGGGGAGCACGTGTCAGCGCTTCATTCCTTTTTATCGCTGAATAATTTCGACTTTTATCTCTTTATTATGGAAAATCTCAAACACATCCGCAGGTCGGGAGCAGAGGGTGACGAACCCCGAGGCACCTGGCACCAGATCCAACGATTACCACTCGTGGGTTCTGGGCTTTGGGCTCTAACCCCCACTTTCCCTCCCCCC